GGGGTCTGATGGGGGCAAGGGCATGGGGGTGCTGCAGCCACCACCCCGACGCCCAGCCCGTTGGTCAGAGCTGGCGTCGCCTGGCAGTGCCCCTTCACCGCCCCGGTGCGTCCCACCCTGCTCAGCCCTTCAGCATGGCATCTGCCCCCACTGCCATCCCCCTCTCCTGGCAGAGAGACTGGTTGTCCCCACAATTAGGACAGCCTGAGGACTCCACCGGGCTGCAGGGATGTCCTCAGGGCCCACAATGTAAAGCTCTGACCCTCTTTGAACTTTTCTGATGTTTAGGGGTTTCTGCCTGGGTGTTTGGGTTCAGTAACACTCCAAAGGATTTGTGAAGAGTTCACGAGCAAAATAAAAAGGGGAATAACTCTGCTGGAGCTGGGAACAGCACTGACCCGAGGCCACAGCTTCTGCAGGAGCCCTGCAAAGCTGGACATCAGACAGAAGCTCAGCGCAGCCCTCAGGCAGCACAACATCTCAGGAATGACTGAGTCTAGGACAAAACCTGCACAAAGGTTTCCTTGGAGCCTTCAGGAATTGTGAGGAGTCTTGTGGGAGCTGGGGAGTTGGGGAATTCACTGTGTGTTTGCCAGTGGGCACCAGCAAAGGTGCCAGCTCTGCCAGGGCTCGCTGCACTGGACATCGACTGGGGGGTCCGTATCCTGCGTGTTTCACTTAAGCTCAAAACCAATCACCATCAGCTAAAATTCCCACCACTCCAAAGAGGTATGGATTCCATCATTATTCTGGGAAGCTCAAAGCGTACCGACCCTACAGCCATGTCATGCCAAGTACACTTCTGCTTCTCCCTCAGCTTAAGCTGGGCTTTGGTGACCAGCCCCCCAAACCAGAATTCATCACCTCCTCTGCAGCGTGGCTTCCCAGCATTTGTGCACAGCCAGCATTAATCCCTAACACTAATCATTTGGGGAAATACGCTTTTCAGAGGCACTTATTCCTTGGCCCAAGGCTACAGGACATCAGCCAGGCCACTTTTCCAAAGCTGGACTCATTGTTGCTATCTCTGCAGCTGGTTGTGAAGGTAACTGCCGATGGGAACATCCAGCCCACATGGCAGAGGAGGCCCCAGTGCTTTGTCTTTTGACTCTTCCCGCATATATATGACTCATTTTGGGGCACTTATCTTCTTTTTCCTGTACTGAAACACTAGTTTCTTTTGCAAGTACTGCCCTGGCCTGGATATCACCATTCAACTACGCGAATTAGGGTTAAAAAAAGTGTCTGCCTGCTACCGTGAGTTCTAGAGCTCCATAAATGGGGCACACAAAGCTGCTCATGGCCCAAGCTTTGGGGATCAGGGTGGAAAGATCCACTTCAGAACTCAGCCTTGGCCAACAGTGTCCTGGGTAGGAGCCTGGGGAAAACGAAATGTCTGAGGGAAGAAGTTACCAGCTGGTAACACACCGGTCGTGAGGAACGTCTGCCCAGGAGAAGCGGAGAGGGCTGGTGGGCACCCCGCACCGCCGGCCGTACCTGCACACTCGAAGTGCACCTTGGCCATCAGCGCCCGGAGGGGTCCCTTGGGAGAGAGCTGGCAGGATCCCCCCACGGGCGGCTGGTTTGGGAGCAGATCGATGGAGGCGAACCCTTCCTCCCCTGTTGTGAGGTCTGTGATGTGGAGGGTGAAGGTGTACCCCTCGCCGTCCTTCAGCGCCCCTTGCCTCAACACCAGGTTCATTCCCGTGTTGCCAGTGGAGGTAGTTTTTTTGTCCAGGATGAGCGACTTGTTTTTAAAGCTGTGGGCTGCCCATCTCTGTGGAGACGAAGAGGAAAAAGGCAGGAGAGGTTTTGTTTAAATCTGAAGTTATGTCCTTAAAACGTTTTCAGGTTGAGTCTCTTATAAAAAGTAACAGATTTCCAGTGGGAGCGTCTGCCAAATTTGCAGTTGATAATTCAGCTTCGGTCTTGTGTGCTACGGCAACAAGAACTGGAACCTTTCCAAAATGTCTGGTGGGAATATTTCCACTGTGAGATCTACTTTAGTCTCTGGGATTACATCACCCTCCGACAGAATATTTCAGAATATAGAATACAAAACACAGGAAATAAATGAAGTACCAGTGGAGTCTCCACGGGATACCACGTTTTACCAGCTTCAAGCCGAACGTGTCCTGGATGGTTACCGTTAATAGCATAAAGGTACAATTGTGATAACAAGAGGAACAGTGAGGTAGCCAGCCAGAAAATGCCAGGCAAGTACCCGCTGGGCTTGCTGGGAGCAACACAGACCAGCTCACAGAACTTCCACTGCCGAGACCTGCCTCATTCCGCAGGCTGCGGAGATGCCGCGCGGGGGAATCGGTGATTAGAGGAGGGCGAGAGGGACTGGGGGGATCAGAAGTGACTGAACAGCCTCTGCTGGAGCCACCAGAATAATGGGCAAAATGCCCATCAGCAGGGAGAAGAAAACACTTCACAGACCTCTTAGAGGTCTTAGAGAAATGGTTTTTGTGCAAAAAGACACACCAGGCAGGCGCAGTGCAGGGCCTGTTTTAAAGCCCTGGCTCTGCAAGCCAGTCCTGCAGCCCGTTCCCGGGGCTGTGATGAAGAGACCAGCATCAGCCAGCTGCCTTCATCCCCTCAGCCAGACCCAGCCTGCTGCTGCATTTATGGTCAGAGATTGTTTCCCTTCCTTGTCTCTACGGCAGTTTAGGTCCAGGACTTTATTTCTCAAACAGCTCTTCCCACCCTGTCCTCTCTGACTCTCCCCTTCTCCCTGAAGTCCACCCAAGGTGAAGCAAAGACCAGCATTGCTCATGACTTTACCCCAAGTTTGGAGTCGTTGTGGCAGTTCTGGCAGGTCCCCTCCAGGTAGACGTAGGAGCTCTTGCTGACTTCATAGACAGACTGAGCCTTGCAGGAAACGCACTCCAGGGACACGATAGGGACTCCCCCTCTCTTGATCAACACCTGGGAAAGCAAGAGCCTCCATCAGAAGACCTGAGACAAAAATAGAGGCATCTAACAGGTAAGCAGGCACCCCAGCAGCTGGCTCTGCAAGGAGGAATCGCTCTGCACCAGCCCAGTCTGTGCCAAGGAAACAGCAGAAAGGGATTTCCACAGGATTTCACGTCAGACTTAAGCTCCATCACTTTTCTTGCACCAGCCACAGCGAGTTCTTCTGCCACTGATTTTTAAGAGCCACCAAAGCCAACCTGGGTTGATCTAGGTCATTCTGAATTTACTTTATTTACACTTTTTAAGAACATAAATCACTTGCGAAACGTCCCCCTGACGCCCTGTGTTGAATTCCCAGCAAGTCCCGCTTGTGCTGCTGGGGGGGGATGATGCTGACCGAAGCACTTCTCTGTAGTGCCCTAAAAACGGGACCTGTGTTAGAGACTGGGAAAGAAGAGAAGTCTAACTGGGAGGAGGAAAGCATCCACCACAGCACAGACCAAACATCTGGTGAGCACCTGCCAGAAAACACAGCTCCTGCTGCCCAGAAGACGCCTTTCAACCTCCAGCGTGGAAGATCCACCTTTTCCAGAGCGGCACGTTGTTCCAGGCTTTTAGCTCCCATCTCAAGACGTCTCGCACACCTCCCCGGCAAAGCACGCGGAGAGGGGAGAGCTTTACAAGTACCGTGGCTCAGACACAACAGCTATTGAGCTCTGACCCCTCTGCCCTGTCTGAATTCCTCTAATCCCCCAGGAAACGGGGCTGTCCAGCACTCGACAGAGCCCTCTGCCCTGGCACAACGGATATTCTGAACTGGAAGACAGACAGTAATGAAGCCATTGTTTAATATGGCAGATTTTTAACAGAGGGTAAATATTCCACAGCACTAAGCCGGAGCGCATTGAAGCTTCATTCATTCCTACAGTATTTGCAAATTTCCTGCGACACTGGAATCATTGTTTTGCGCTCATGCATGGAAACCAGATAGTACGGAATGTCCTTGAAAGACTATCAATTTAATTTTTCTCCTTTTATCCTCCAGTTTTGGTTTAAAACCCAGGCAGTAAGAGTTTCCACTTTCGGACTAACTATATCTCTAATTGCCAAACGCACCACGATGAATGTTTCTGACATAAACCATAACTGCTGTCGGACTGCGGATGCATTCAGCCTTGGGCTTAATTTGACATAAACAACATGCACTTAAAAAAATCCTCCCTTCGAAAAATTCAGAAACAGAGAAGAGAGGAACTGCTGACAGCAAAATTAAACACCGGCTCTCAGGAAGCTCTCTCTGGGCAAAAATCAGGGCAGAGCCTGGTGCTGTGACACGTGAAGAGCCCAGGACTGCAGGCAGTGGTGGAAGAGCTGCCGACCACGGGCTTCTTTGCTGCTCTCCTATGGCAGATCCGTGGTCGGATCTTCCAGTTCCAGGAACTGGGGCCAGTACCGCCCAGGGCTGGGTCACTAACGCAGCCTCCGCGCAGAGAGGGACCAACACGAGGTCAAAAGGAAGGAAGAGACTAAAAGAACTTGGCAGGACAAGCAAAAAGCGCTGCCCAAGGCAGCATAAGACCAATATATCACAGAAATACCAATATCTGTTCCTGCCAATGACCTGGATGAGATGGATTATTTACACTGGGGGTGGTGAAGCACTGGCACAGGTTGCCCAGAGAAGTTGTGGCTGCCCCATCCCTGGAAGTGTTCAAGGCCAGGTTGGATGGGGCTTTGAGCAACCTGGTGTAGTGGAGGGTGTCCCTGCCCATGGCAGGGGGGGTTGGAACGAGATGATCTCTAAGGTCCCTTCCAACCCAAACCATTCTATGATTCTATGACTATGGAGCTGCAGCAATGCCCTAAAATCTGTCTGCCCTGCTTTCATGTGCTGGCTGGTGCAGGTGGTGGCTTCCACACCCCTGGCTGAACTGGCCCTGGCTCTGGGATGGTGCCAGGGGATCCAGCCTGGGGAGTCACCTCTGGCTGGACACAGTCCTGAGCCAGCAGCGCTCTCCTCTAGAAAATTCCTACGAAAAGGGCCGCGGACATCCAGCACAGCCGTGTCCAGCAACAGGCACACAAGGACAGAAGGTGATGGTTGTGTGTGGTACGTACGGTTTGATTCGTTGCCTCGGGGCTCATGCCCTCCTTCCTGACGGTGAGGTCAAACGTATACTCCACATCTGCTTCTAATACAGCTTTGGAAATTGTGACAATTCCTTCCTTGGCACTGAAATTCAGAGAGCACCCTGCAGCCGAGCTCTGCTTGCAAGGAGAAAAGAACTTTCAAACCCTCCTTGGTACGGGTGCACATCGGGTTAGTCCACAGCCAAAACATGCAGGTCCACACAAAGTCACTGCTACAGATGTCACTGTGCAACGCCACCGCTGGGGTGGGAGAAACGGGGCGCTGTGCGGACAGTAAAGCCTTATCCTGTTCTCCAGGTTAGTACACAGCACTTGCAATACTCCTGTATTTCATCTGAGCTTCAAATTCTTATTTTATAGCAATTAATTCTTCATTAAACAGCTTGTAAACATTGCCAAACAGCACAAAAAGCTCACGTTAAACTCAGAGGTCTAATCCACCCACACTCCACATCTATTTTGAGGTAAAGATAAAAAACAGTGACTTTTTAGAGGCAAAAAAAACCCCTCGTTTAATCAATAACTGCTCCTGAGGTGGATCTCCCACAAGAACTCGAAGGGCGGCTCTCCCTTGTGTCCTCACTTCAGCGTGTGAGGACAGTGACCTGCCTGTGACCAAAGTGACCATGACTTGTGGTCACTTGACTCCCCCCAAGTCTAACTTTGGCCCCTGCTTGAATCAGAGACATTGAACTGCCAACGGGAGAGGGATCAGAGCCCCCAGCCCCTGGGCGGCCACCAGCAGCTCCGTAACGCCTGCGGCTTACGGAAGCAGCTGCCCTGGAACTGTGAACCAGAGGCCAAGTCCAAGGGAAGGAGCACGAGGAACACGTCAGCTTCCAGGGCCAACACTTCTGCCGTGCCCCGGGATGCTGCGCTGCCCCGGATCGCACCGGGCTGCGCTGCACAGCTCTGCACAGCCACTTTCCTACTGTCGCCCCGAGCTGGGAATTGGGAAAGCTTTGTAACCCTCCTTCTGGAGCAGCTTTGTGCAGGATGCTCACAAAAGCGTCCCTCAACACCACGTCAGCCCAGACATATGTTTGTGGTGGAGCTGACGCGCTGCAGTCGGAGCTCCCAAACGATCACCCTCTCTGGCTGTGCAAAACTGCTCTTACCTTGGAGGAGAACGTACAAGACCAATCGTATAACAACGGAGTCTGTTCACCATCATCCAAGTTCGGGTCATAGGATTTCTCCCCGTCCAAGATTAAGTCCTGAGTGTTGGACCACACACGGTATGACCCCCCATCGATGATTGGGACCAGCTTACTCGGTATCACAGTTACATTGGCAAAGATGCTTTTGGACAGTGGGGTATCTCCGAAGGACACAATAAAGATGAAGCAATAGTTCCCAACTTCCAGGGCAAGCTTCGGTATAACTAGCTGGGGCCTGTTCACATCAACGTTCGGCAGGCGGATCCTGCTGGAGTCATCCAAGTTCGTGCAGCTGGGTGCCCGGTAGATCTCCCACAGGTGCTCCGTCTGGTACTTGATGCACCCTCGGAGGTCGATCTGTGCCTCTAAGTAGTTCCTCTGGGACCTCTTCATGACTACTTGAGGGGGCAAGGCCAACTCTACCTCTGGCTCCTCACACTCCAGGACTTTGACAGTGACAGTGAGGTGGGCTATGAAGAAGCTGATGAGATTGGTGGCATTCACCTCCACCAGGTAATCCCCAGGGCTCAGGTAAGAATAGTTGGCCACTGCAACCCTGGTCATTTGAGTGGAAGAGCCATCTCCAAAAGTCCACAAGAACTCAACGCTCCTGCTGCTGGGCACCACTGCTGCTTCAAACAGTGCTGTCCTGTTGACAAAGGCATTGGAGGCAGTGAGGGAGACTTGGACTATCGGGTCTTGGACCTGGATGGTTCTGGTGATATTGACACCTCCCAAGTCATTGAAGGCATTGAGGTGAATCTCGAGCAGCCCTGCAGCTTCTGGAGTGTAGGAAACACTCTCTCCAGTCACAGTGACCACAGATCGGCCCTCCTCTTTCCACAGGGAGAACTGCCAGGAGAACGACACACGGGAACCGCTCCCCACCTGGGCACTGAAGCTCTTCTCCGTGCCCGTGGGAATGCCTTCCTCACAGCAGTTCAGGAGCCTGACATCACGGATGGCCTCCAGGACTGAGATGAGCACCTGGGCGTGCGCAATGCTGATTTGGTTCTGCACTGTCACGGTCACCAAGTAATCGCCGCTCTTGGTGAACTCGTGCGTGTACCTGGACCCGTTGAGCACCACAGAGTAGTCCCCACTTATGCTCACCAAGTAACTCACAGAGGTACCTGAGAGCATCCTGATCACAAAGGTGACCTGTTCCCCTGGCTCCACCACCTTCTTGCTGGCAAGAACTTCCAGTCCTTGAATCCTGTCCAGCACTGAGATGTTCCTGCTGGCCAGAGCCCAGCTGATGTCATTCGAAGCATTCAGATGGACTGTGTAAAACCCTGCTGTGGGGAACATGACCGCCACGGACTGGCCAGTCAACGTGCCATTTGGCACCTCCCAAAGCCATGTCACTTCAGTCCCTTTCTGCAGCTCCCCCTCAAAGACCACCGTGGAGCCTGATGAGACATACCTACAGTCCAGTTCTGCAGTCCCTATACTCAGCCCCTCTATGACCTCCTCTACACAGATGTAGATAGTTGCATTGGTTGAATCCAGCTTGTTTTCTGCTCCAATGACGACCTCTGTCACTCCGGGGCTTTGGAAGGAGTGCATAATAAAGGGTTCAGAGGTAACTGGCGAGAAGCCATCCTCCAGGTACCAAACATACATGATGCCAGTGCCACTGGTTATGGTGGCACTTATGTTAACAGAGGCATTAATAGCGACCGGGTTGGGGAAGGCATAGGGCTTTAAAAGACCAATGCTTTCAATGAACTCCAGTGTCCTGTTAGCAGTTGCGCATCCCAGCATATTCGTGGCTTTCAGGTAGACAGTGTAGTTTCCAGCTTCTAGGACGCTCAAGGAGAAGGTTTTCCCAGTGAAGGTCTGCACAGCATTGCCATCCCTTTGGGCCACCCAGCTGTAGGAGATGTTTGTTCCCTCTCTCACCACTGCCTGCAAATGGAGTGTTTTGTTAGTTGGGAAATAGACGTCCTCCACCAGGTCACTGCTAACCGCCTGCAGGCCCTCAATCTGCTCCAGGACGTAGACGTAGATGCTGTCCTGCAACGAGCTGATCTTGTTCTCTGCTGTCACAATGACATTGAACGTGCCCACGGACCGGAACGTGTAGGAAATCGTGGAGGAGCCTTGGATAGGAGTGCAGCGGTCACAGAGGATCCATGAGTAGCGGATGGCAGTGCCAGCTACAAGCGTGGCTACAAAACTCACCGAACCATTTAATGGCACCACTGTCCTGCTGGCATTGATGGTCAGCCCATGGAGCCGGCGTTTCACTGTGACGTCGATGATGGTCTCGTTAGAGCTCACATCGTTCTGGCCCATCACACTGATAGTGTAATGGCCCGTGGTGTTGTAGGAGTGGGTAGCGATTTGGCCAGGCTGGGTAGTGCCATCTCCAAAGTCCCAACAGTAACTCACTTTGGTTCCATTCATGCTGGCAGAGAACAGGTAGACCTGGTTCAGCTCCAAAACGTCTGTCCCGTTGTATTCAATCTTTGCTACCCCAACTGGTTCCTGGACTTCCACGAACGCTGTGTCATTGTTGAAAGAGACATTGTTGGAGACGGTCACCGTGACCAGGAAGACCCCTGTGTTCTTGTAGGTGTAGGTCACTTCAGTCCCACTCGATCTAGTGGACTCATTGTTCCCGAAATCCCAGCGGTAGCGGTACTGGTAGAGAGGGACAGCACTGACCTGGAAGCTGCTCTCGTCACCAAGCCTCACAAACTGCTTGGAAGGGAGAAGGGTGACATTGACTATCTCTGGCTCCACACAGACGCTGGTGAAATAGTGAGCCTTGTTAAACCTGCTGGAGAGAGTCAGGGAGAGGGGGAACGTCCCACTTCGAGTGAAGTTGTGCATCACCACAGGGTTCCCACTGATGGTGACGTTGGACGAGCCGTCTCCGAAAGTCCAATCGAAGATGTATTCACCAGGATTCCCCGTCACGTACGCAGTGAGCTGCACATCCGGGTGCTCAAGGATGCACGAAGCAGGTTCTATTTTGAGTACTTCCAGGACAAATATCCGAACAGGGACGGTTTGGGAGACGGAATTCACAGGATTCACAGCTGTCACGTTCACGGTGCAGTTGATGTCCTTTATGTACACGTGTTCTACCACTGGCACTTGACTCCTCAGCACCGTCCCGTCCCCCATATCGAATATCCAGGTGATGCTGTCCCCCGTCTGCACGGAAGCGTTCAGGGTCACGGATGCTCCCAGCTCTGCTGCCTCACCTGCAGAAACACGGAGCCCACTTATCTCCTCAAACACTTGGTAGCACTCAACTGTCTCCACGCTGCTGATGGTGTTGTTCGCCGTCACGGTGATGTTGTACACCCCTCTTCTGGGGTAGCTGTACGTCACTGCAGACCGGCTCTCTGTGAACAGGGAGGACCCGTCCCCGAAGTCCCAGGTGTACATGACGCCGTAAGGAGACGGCAGAGGATCGGCTCTGAAGGTGACCGGCCGGCTAACAACTAAAACATCCTCCTCTGCTTCCATCTTCACATCAATCAGGTAACTGTGGACATGAACCGGGACCAAGTGGGTGAGGTTCTCAAACTGGTTTGACACCAGAACCACCAGTGCATATTCACCTGCACAGGAAGGGAGCAGAAGAAGACCAGTCATGAGGACACGTTTATGCAACAGGTTCCTTGGTGCTGGAGGAACTTTCCTCCTCCGGTCCAGGACAAACAGGAATCACAACCAGGCCATGCATGAGAGGACCAAACACCAAGCAAGAAGCCAGTTTGACAGACAGAGAAAAGATTTTCTTTCTGTTGGCTCACAAAACAGACCCCTTCCTGCTCCCTACCCCCTCCCATCAGCATGGAGCTCGCCTGCCACTCGTCTATCTGCCCAAAAAAGTGGCCTGTGAGTGGTGGATCTGCTTCTTACAGTGTGGAAAGACTTCTCCTGGGAACAGGGTTACAGAGGATGGCAATGGCTGGAGACTTCCAGTCACTCGGGCTGTTCGCTCAGGAACGAGGTAATGACTTTCAAGTCATTTTATTGGAAGGTGCCTGTAACCCCCCTGCTCCAGAAACGTCTGAGCCTCTTCTTCCCCAAAGAACCATCCTGAGCATACCTGGGTCTTGATAGACGTGTGAAACATTGTGCTCAATGACAACCTCATGGACGCTGGGATCAGGAACACGGAAAGATTTGTTGTAGGGAGGTTTGAACAGGTATGTCTCCTGGACACCATCTCCAAAATCCCACCTGGAGAAACACGCAAACCATGTTACACTGCACAACGGGAGAATCATGGAAATCCCAGAGGAACCCTGGCCTGGCCTAGGGCTCTGTCAGGCTCAGGGCTGAGGTCTCCAGAAAAACCATAGGAAGCATAATGCCAAGTATCAAAGCGGTAGGTGAGCCCAATGCTGCAGAACTGTTGCTGTGAGAGGAGTACAGCACTGGTAAGAAGAGGAGGAACCCAATATTAAGGCAATGTGGCAATCCTTTAAAGGAAAAGGATTTCAGCCTGAACTGCAGGTCCCAGCCAGTGTGACCCAACCACATTGGCAGAGATTCTAAATTAACCAGAGAGCAGGTGAGAACGGGCCATTTGCCATCAGCTGGCCCTGCGAAGAGAAAGTGCAGGCAAGGCTGGGAAGCATAGCAAGATCCTAAGTTTGGGCAACTTGCAAAGGACTCACAGGAACATAGCATCCACAGCGGAATCAACCTGAACTCTTGCCATAAGCTCCACGGTGCTGTTCTGCGGGAGGACCGGCAGGACACCCAACACAGTCAGGTTCTTCATCTTATTCATCATCTCCACCGTGACATTGTAATTGACCGTAAAGTTACTGACGTGGTTGGAGGCGGTGAGCTGGGAAGGACAGTGGGATAAAGAATGCATTTGGGATCACCTTGCCATGCTGCCCTCTCCCAAGAGTGGGGCTTCACTGTGCTAAAGAGGTCCCACCAGGCAGGCGAGCAGGTTAGGCCAGAGAAGAGTCTCCTGTGGAACAGGGAGGCAGAGGCAACAGCCTGAACGGCACCGGAAAGCAGCATAGACTGGAAGGTCACCTACCTGGTGAAGTCACCTCTTGCTGGAACCACCACATCTCCACCACTAAAGTCAGCCCAAGGAAGGACTGGTTCTACAGCAAGAGGACGAGGAGAAGAGCTCCTCATCCTCAGACTCTTCTGGCTCTGAACTTGCCAGTTACCTTTTTGCCTGCTCCGATGTGCCCTGCACGCTGTCTCCAGCTGCTGAGCCCAGGCACTTGCTGCTTGGTGGCAAGAGCCACCCAGTTTCTTTAGGACAGTGGCAGATGAGTGGCTCCAAGCACAGAGAGTGGGGATGGCAGAGACTCATACACCCAAGCATGCCAAGCGCAGCTCCAGCATCCTGAGCGTAGCGGGCACAGAGAGGGAGAGCGAAGCTGGGCAGAGGAGGGAAAGGGGGAATGGACAGGCAAGAGACTGAAGAGACACGACAGGAGGAGAGCAGGATCCTCAAGACTATCTAGGCATGTGACACTGGCATGGCACCTAATGACGGAGCATCTTGTCACCTGCTCTGTGGGAGAGCTGAGCTGCTGACAGAAGGGATCCTTCAAACCCAGTTGAATAGAGCCCTCCCACCCCAACAGATAAAAGAAGTTTGTGTCTAGGGTTCTGTGGACCTGTTACACCGAACCCAGCAGCCCCCAGGCTAATGCCACTTTGTCAACTCTGGAAGCAGAAGCGATCCAGGCTTGTCAGCACAGTGCTTCACGCAGCAGATTAGTGCTACCCAGCACAGTGCTGCACCGAGCAAATCAGCGTGAGTGCGTCCTCAGAGCAAGGGCTGGTGTCTCCTCAGGAAGCCAGCAGATGCCCTGCAAATGGATCAGGCAGCTTGGAGCCAGAGCAGGACTCCACGTGGCAGTACAGGGCACAATCCAGCACGATGCTCTGGCCAGAGATAAACTCCTGTTCCACAACAGATCCCGCCCTCTGTCCAGACTCTCCGCTCTATCCTTCTTCCAAGGTCACGACAACAGCCCGTGTTGGCTGCACCAGTAGAGAGAGAACAGGACAGAGACCAGGAGAGCTTGTGGCAGAAGCTCTGCCCTGGCTATGAAAGCCTTACGTTCGCATCCTGCCCCTGCCTGGTTCTGAACCCCCATCTCCTGCCCACCAAAGCAGCGGCTGGCACCCTGCAGCGGGGCTCCCTGCCTCGCTCCTGCTGGGGAGGAGTGAGGACACACACTCCACAAACAGAAGGGAGAACATGGGGAAAAGAGGAGAAAGCGAAGACGAGGAAGACAGCGAAGTAATGGAAGAATAGGGAGGAACTTACTATTTGCATTTGCAAGAGCAGCTCAGTGAGAAGCAGCAGATGAGCTCGCCAGGAGCACAGTGAAAACCTCCTCGACTCAACTCTGCCTTCTCCTCTCCCTGCTGCTGCTCTTCCTGCTTCGTTTGTGGGACGAAACGGAAACCCAAGATTGAAATGGTTTCAGGGGAAAGGCCTTGGCTTACCGAAAGCTTGTACACAGCTGGGCTTTGGTAGATAACGTTGAAGACAACATTGTAAAAAGTGAAAGATGGCTTATCATCTACTGTCCATCGGAAAGTCACATCTGACCCAGCTTCCATCACAGGGACGTAGCTCTGAAAGGCATGAGGACATTTTATACTAGCGCAAGAGAAAAGCACGCACAGCACTTCCCAGGAGATCTCCAGCTCAACTGGAGAGGGAGCAGAGCCAGACTGGGAGGCATCGCACACCGGTCAGACAGCGCTCTCAGAGCACGACACAGAGGTGCAAGATCATCTGGGGCTTTGCTGCTGACAGACAAACACAGACCCTGGCTCCATAAACCGGCAGCAGAGCTGGGAGCAGAACCCGTAGTGCCTGCTCCCACCCCCTCGTGCTCCGCTCTTGTGGTCAGCTCTGGCTGGCTGGCCAAAAAACTTCCCGGTATGTTTGAGGAAACAACTTGGCTGTAGCTGCACCTGGAAGCTGAGTCCCTGACCCTCCTCCATTGATGGTACCCAAGCCAAAGGCTGCACTGGTGGATGGGCACTGGGATGGGCAGGCTCCCTCCTCGCTCCTCCAGTGCCTCCTGAGCAGACCGTGGCAGCCAGGAAGGGTGAGACCAAGAGGCGTTGCAGGCACAGGGTTCTGTGCCAGAGGTTGAAGAGAGCATCTCCCAGACACCGGTGGGCAGTTATCGAATCCCCTAGGGCCTCACTGCGGCTCTGGGGACAAGAAATTTCGGGAAAAAATAACAACTGCAAACACCAGAGTAACTCCAGGACTTGGATGGACGGAAGAAACATTCTTATAGCTTCAGCCAGCTGGTGTAAGGATTTAGCAGAGCAAAGCTAAACACCTAAAGGAATAACTACCTCCACAAGTCCAAAGAAGGTAAATCCTGGCCTTTCAGAACGCCTCCGCTTTTCCGTGCAACTGGAAAGCCAGTATCCCCCATTGCAGGAGGTGCTGCCTCACCTCTGAGGGAATTACAGCGGACGTGCAGCTGAGCTGCCTTGCAGCAGGAGAGCCCCAGTGCCTTCTGCCGTGCGCCCGCGTCCGCACGGAGCGGAGCCCCAGCCCTCCTCCGGAGCCAA